CTTCCTTTGGCTGAACTAAATTGCCTTAAGGTCTATCAATGCTGTTCATGATAGCTCTGCTGCAGGTATGTGTGCTTGCCATTAATGTGAAGCACCTAGTATGTGAAGGTTTCCTTAGCTAAATGAAGCAAACTTTTCACAGAAAAAAGCTTCTTCAAAAGTTTTTATCTTCATGACAGAGCCTCTTTAATAATATTTCAGAAGCAGAACCGATAATTTAAAAGTACTTTTGAGATACCAAGTTAAATGTTTTTCCTGCACAAGTGCTTTAATGGGCATGCAAATAGTGATGGGACAGCCCTTTAATATTTTATAAAATAAAAATTCACATTGCAATTCGTGGAAGTTTTGACCTGAGCAGTATGGGGAAAAAAGGCACAGAAGAAATTTTAGCTTACACTGAGAAAGAAATAAGGTATCTCTTCCTCTGTTGTGTGGGCCCCTCATATCAAAATATCTTTTCCTGAGATTTTGCTCCAGATTGCTGCTATGTGTCAGCTATCCCTGCTGGTCTGACATGAGGAATCCTCTTCACTGCTTCCAGGAGTGAACCAAGGTCTCTCTGCTTGAGGGAAAAGCCGAAGAAGAAACTGGTTTGAGGTTATCCAAGTCAAAAAATAATCGCAAGGCTGTTCCACATACCTGAGTTAGGACATCAGTGCCCTGAGAGGTAAAGGGTGAGTTAAATCCTCACCCTACAGGCTTCAGAGAATTAGGATATATCCAAAATTGCAGAAATTATTTAAAATACAAATATAGCAGCTAAAATACAGCAGAGAAAACAGAACAATAGGTATCTGTCCGGGACAATCTTTTTTTCTGTACACACACATGGCAAATGCAGAGTTTTTAAACATAAATGTGGTTAAAATTAATATTTTAAATATATTTTAACTAGATTTGCACAAGAAAAGATTTGGTGTTAAGACAACACAGGAAAGCTCAGTTGCTAGACACTGCCCCTCGCTTAATGAGTATATTGTGACAGCTTCAATTCTGAAGCAAAATTGTATCAATTTTAAAAGAGTTTTTAAAAAAGGGAATGAAAGCCCTAACAGCAAGCAGCTATTAGCTCTCTAGGCAAGGGCTTCAACACTGGTGACATTTTACCTTTGCAACTGAAAACAACGTTGACAAGTGCTAAGGGTATGTTGATGTGCATATCCTTTTCTCCTTGGCCCTCTCCACATCTGCCTGGGGAAGGAGCAGTGAAGTTTTCAAGAGCCTGGCAGTGTCCACCGCATTGTCTGAGAACCCAGACAGTGCTGATTGTTTTAGACATATCAGCTTTCTGTGTGGGAGTTATCACTGAGGTCATTTACGGCTCTTATGTCATTAGACACCATCAGCATGATGGGAGAGTCTGCTTTATGACTGCTGGTGGATTTACATTAGACTTGTTAAGCATGCAGGTCCCCTGTGTGATTATTCAGATGAGCAACCAGGTAATTCATTCCTGTTTTAAACATCTAGATATGGAGCAGAGCATCCAGACTATTGCTGATATTTGTATTTGCAGCTGCTTGTAATGGGCTCACTCATTACTGCTCAGGCAGTACCATTAGTGGGTAAAGTGTATTACTGACGCAAAGGCACACTTGCCCTGAGGAGCCTACAGTCAAAAGCTGACACCAGGATACTGAAAGCTATAGATATTCAAAAAGCACAGGAATGAGAGAATGAGGGCTATAACACAGAAAGATTATGAGATATGCTTGTTATGCTCACCCCTTGCTAGCACCTTTTTTTTTCAGTCTATGCTGACACCTAACCCGAACAATCTTGTGAAAGAATCATGTTCTGAATTCATATAGCTCCTTGTGATAAGCTGTTGATGTGCTAGTGGTATTTTTAAGATACAGAGGAGACATGTCAGAGAAATGGGAGCCCAATTGCACTCCAGATAGAATATTCTAATCAGTGAGCAGCTTATCACCACACTTACGGGCAGCAAATGCTCCACAAATCCCAGGGGATGTCAGATGAAAATCCCCATCATTACAGACATAACTTTCTTGATAAGCCTCCTCAACAACATGAGCTATTGTTTATACTGAGAAGCATGCTGAGGTTCAGTGGAAAGGTGTGCAGAGCTCTTTCCCTCAAACAAATGAAGCGCTGGATTTGTGGGTGAGGAGCAGACCTGCTGGCATTCACAGCTCTTATTCTATTCAGTCGTCACAGCAAATGATACCCTTTCATTTTCCCTTCCTGCACTTCATAATACAAAAGAAAAACTTAAACCTAAACCAGCTATTTTTATTTTGATTAAATCTTTCTTTCCCCTCTCCAGATGTTACATGCTAGGGCATGACATTAACCCAAAACAAAAGTGAGCAACCGGAAGCAAGTGTGCCATTAGCTCAACTCAGTGTCTGATGTGCTTATTTTCAGTGGATCTGTGAAGCAGGCAGACAAGCAGAATCTTTTCTTCACATACGACTTGCAGAGCTCCAGTGAGCAGGTACCATATGAAACATCCAGTGAAAACAACTTCAGCAAGGCATGCTACATTTTTTTCTTTATAAGCACAGGTACAGTTGATCGAAACCTCACTCGATGAAAGAGACTCATCAGAGACAAAATTAAGATAATTGCATCGTAACTACAAATTGTCAAAGAGACGTTTTATAACACAATTTAGCTGAATTAGATACTATTGACCTCAGAGTGGTTTACCAAGGAAGGAGAAATAAATTAAGATATACGACCACACTGAAGGCAAATGGCAAGCTGTATTTTACGAATTCTTTTCAACTTCTTCAAGATTAGGTGGGATGCTTTGTTTTACAGTCACCAAAATGAAAAGTTCAGACTTTTCAGCTCTGTCATATATGACCACAGCAGAGCCAGAAGCTTCACAGAGTGGTATTGTATGGCTTTGTCCATGCCAGTGGCCCAGGCCAAGGCATGGGTCTGTGTGTTTGCCTGGGATCATCCATCCATACTGGAATTTCTATGGCAAGGTCCCTGAGAGGGTTTTGGCCTGTGCTGGGTAGCAGTCCTCCCAGGTTTCAGACAAAGCCTGAAGGTTAGTGAAGGTGAAAGACATGCCCAAATGCAGACCAGATGTGGCCAATGTTTTGAAAAGGAGTTTAGCCATATGGATTAGAGGAGTGCTGTGTCAGTGGACCTCAGGGCCAGTGAACGATCCCTATCTACTAGTATGGATGTACTTTGCAATATGAGACAGAGAAAGGGCAACAAACTGTATTCTGCTCCAAAACAGAAGATCCAGTAAATAGCAGTGGTAACTGGACTCTGGCTATTTTATTGTGGCTATTTTACAGTGCTCTACTCTGGTAAAACATCTCAGCAGGCATGACTAATGTGGAAATACTGGCTTTCTTTGGGCTAGTTCCTGGATGTGCAGAAGGATGTGGCATGGAGAGGCATGCAGACTCGTCAGATACAAGCCAGCTTGCACCTGGAGGTGATGTAGCTCATCCATGGTGCTGCAGCTCATGGGAACAACCTTAGCTGTTAAATACTAACAGCATCCATGTTAGCTTGGTCTCTGCTAGCTGGGGGAAAATGACCATGTGGTGCAGTGCCCCATCATCATGTCCTTTCCCAGGCTTTTGTGTTAGCAGGGAGGTGACTTAGGCATTTGCACACTGAAGAGCATTGGGGTTAAAGGGGGCTGACCAAAGGGTTTACCTGCTATTGAAGCACAAATGATAGATAACAGGAATCACTAACAATGAAAATTAACTGAGCATCAATCAACATGAAAGTCCAACTCACCTTGAAACAATGCCTCAAACACAGGCAAAACTGAGATGTCCTCTGCCACCTATAACTTCATTAAACCAGTGAGGTTTTCCACTGAGTGTACTTGTCAAATACACAACAAACCCTTACTGAGTTCTCTGCTACTTTCAATAAGTGGCACCTCTTGGGACCTGGAATCTGCTGACACAGATGTTATAAAAGACTTTTTGTAGGATTGACGGCAAATAAAATATTCTGCTGCTTATTGCAAGCCTTTTGACGGCATGATTATGGGTATCCTTGCTCCAGGCTTCCTGTCTGATTCCCACCTGACAGACAGCCTCACAGATTTTATGCATTCAACATATGCATTCGCACTCTACCCCGTATTTCAGCATAAATCCAGGAATGAAACAGGCATCAGGTGACTGTCTATTCTGAATCTGTTGTACAGCTTTTAACATTCCTGTCTTTTCTGTATTGGTACAGAAAGTCTCACTTTTGCCTCTCAGCTTTCTGAAACAGAAATAAAGGGCTGTATCACAAACATCAGAAACAAGAGATAAGAATCATGACTGAACCAGGGTGCTGTGTGTGTATATTAGTGTGAACAACTCAACATTATGTTTTTATTAAAGGTAGCTTAAAAGGTAAGGAAGAGAAATTAGAAAACCAGAGACTTCTCTTCATAAAACTAAAGCTTTAGGTTGAACACTAAAACACCTAAGGCTTTATAAAGCCTTCCATTTCTTTTATTTTCAAGGTGCTCTGAGAACAAAAGGCACTTAATAGAAATACACTGCTTTTTAAATGGTAGTGGCCAATGACAGACAATAACAACTTAAGGAAGGACAAAGAGTGCTTTTCTGTGAAAAGACAAGAACACCTCTGAAAAAAAAACAGGACAATCTGATTTCTATGTGCTTATTTCAGCAGAACGTTCCAGTGTTAAAAATCTCCACTAAATTTCCATAGAGGAGTTATACCATTTATGGTCACGGACACCATCTTTAGCTTTGACTTGAAGCACACTAAGCTACTTTTGCCTTATCCTTTGTAACATTAACTGTGCAGTGAAGTATTCTTAGCCTCCTCTTAGCCAGCGCTATTCTAGCAGTCAGCTTTCTACTATGTATCTCTCTTATCACATGCTCAGCTTTTTTTTACTTTCTATAGCTATTGCATCTTGATACCACTCTCATTTGTTGAACCTCTATCCTAGCTTTCAAAAATCCCTCTCTTTTCAAAAGAACCTTTGTACCTTGTCTAATCATCACCTACCACAGGTTCCTCTTAGAGCAACAAATTTCAGTGCTGATATGCAAAGTGAAACACTCAGATTCCTGTTACACTTGCACAACCTGTTGAGATCCGAGGAAGTTGTACTGGTGTAACAAAGGTGAGTTCAGCTCATTATATTTGCAGTCCCAAAACCTTCCTTGCTATTTCTCTGAAGTGTATATCCTCAGACATCTTTCTTGCTCCCACATGCCATGGAGCCCTAGGGAGCAATTCCTTAGCATGGGTGCTGCTTAAAGTCAGCAGCTAAGAATGCAGTATAGAGGCTTTGCTTCTTCTGATCTTGTCCCTAATAAAACTCATATCTCTGCATTTGTAGTTACTTTCTCCTGGGTAATGTAAAAGCCTGATGACTGAGACTGTAGTCCTGACAACTTCTAGTAGAAGGTTTCAAAAATAGTGCCATTACACCAATGTTACTTTTAATGTAAGTGGCATGTAAAAGACAAAATATTGTAATATTGCATCCTAAGCCTGCAGAGAGCAGGGATAGATTCCCTTAAATCATACTGAAATCTGTAGTATTACTGTAAAAGGGGTGGAAAAATCCAGCTAAATTTTGACCTTTCAGAAACCAATGGATAAGCTAAAGAACTGCCTGAATATGTGGTCTGAAAGTGACAAGTAACATGTAATTCACAGTTCCCAGTTTATTTATTTCACCTGTACTATATGGTACTTGCTAATGTAGACAACAGCTTTTCTAAATAAGAGCATTATTTAGGAGAGCTGATGTACAAGCATGGTTCAGGAAGCCCTGAACTCGTGATTATCTACATCTGTGGAAAAGGGCTTTACCCATGCTATTCCCACCTATGTTTGTGCAAATGAAGGCAATAACAATCCCTCACCTTCATCATGAGGGAACATATCACTCCATGAGGATGAAAAGGGAGAAGCTGTTGAGATTTCCTAGCTCTGAAAAATCCAAAATGAAACCCACATTTCTGCATTTTAAAGAACACTGCAATACCTCCATGGAAATAGCATTGCCATGCAGTAAGTAAAAGGTGGGGTGAAAGGATAATATCTCTGCTTCTAGGCTCCAGTGTTTCTTTCAAGTGATGAAGTACATCAGACACTTCATCCTATGTAAGCATGTTAGGCTGAGAAGGACAACTGAGCATCAATTAACAAACATGTTGGACTTACAGTGAATGAAATAAGGACCAAAAGAGCAGAACAGAAGTTAGTCACAGAGGACTAAGGTGCTTTACCAGGCCGTAGTTATCATCAATATGGCACAGGGTTATAGCCCAATAGGTAGAGCAAACAATAGCAATTTTGCTAGTCATCACTGCTTGGTATAATGGCATGAGGAATGACCAGCAGTGCATGGGTTTTTAAGGCATCAAAGTACATTTGTACAGCAGGGATACAGTGCAACATCTCTCAAGAAGTACCACCACAGGGGTTATCAGAAGCAGGTTCCCTCACAAAGAAAGCATCCAGGTGCTGCAGTGAGAAAACCCAGACCTACATCACTGTCTCCATGGGAGTCCTAGGCCTGGAAAGACTCCACTGCAGAGATCCTCCGATGTGAAACCCCAGTGCTGATGGCTACCAGGCCCAGAAGGTGTTTGCCACAAACAGGGGGTCTCTTGGGTGGAGAGTCACAATTAAAAGGCAAAACAAATATCCGTGCATACAGCCTCCCAGAAACATTGGCACCTCTCAAAACCGACAAGACAAGGAGGCAGCACAGAAAACCAAGTGTAAATGAATTTCATTTTGCAGGGAAGCAGCAATGGCCAGAACACAGTGGCTAGCCCTGAACTCTTCCTTCAAAAGCGGAAAGACCTGCTGAAGAGCAAAATCACAAATGTCCAATCCTGTTAAGTGAGCTCACAGCAGGAGTAATTTTTAAAGTGAAAAGCATGCTCACTGTTCAGAGATACAAGCACGAGAATGGCAGGGGAATCTACAAAAAGAGAGAGGTGGTGAAGAGAGACAGCAGGAAATCAAACTCCACTCAGAACAGCAACCTGCAAAGTTCCAGGGCAGTCCAGCCTGCAAAATAACAAATAAACTTCCCCAGGATGAATAAACCACTAAATGCACTGGTAGGAAAAGAATGAGTTGTATCTACAGGTAGCTTATGGCCCTTTTAAATGGTAGCAGTTAGAAGTCTGAATGTGAATACAATCCTTGGTTTCTTTCTGTAATTCACATTATATATGCTTTTGTAATAGCAACATGGAACAAGGAGTTTGGCTGCTCAGGAAAATCGTTATATTTCAAATAACCTACATCACCAACATAGTTTTTTCATTTTTTTTCTGATATGTTCATCCTTTCCGGAGTGGGTATCAATTATAGACCCAAATAACTGCAAATCAGACACCCTTGCATTGCATTACATTTATACTTATGTATAGTAAGTGAAGCCAAAAATTATTGTAATTTCTATCTTAGTCAGAAGGTGTCTGTTTAAGAAAATATTTTTAATTTGTAGGTGTTCTCACTGCCCACTTTCATTACTTAGGTGTAAAAATTGCTTCATTGCTTTCACATGGAGTATTAGCAATGAGTTGCCTATATTTTAGCTTTGAAATAGCTGCGACATTCATTTTAGGATTATCAAGCTTTGTTCCAGACAGGTGAAATAAGCATTTTTATTTTAGATTTGTTTTTCAACTTTATTGCCTTCACCAGGTTCAGAGGTAGCTACTGTACTTTTTTTCAAAATTTGAGATTGTCTAAATTTATTAGAGATAGGATCTTTGACTGGTCAGGCATGGCACATGGCCGTAAGGACTCAATTAGGAATTTAAAGCCACTGCTCAGAACAAGAAAGGTGGGTTGATTTCATTAGTATTGGCAGGCAGGTCACTGAGAAGTTTACCACAGGAAGAAGTCATTTAGATAGTAAATCCTCACTGGTGTTTACTAGGTAAGCTTTAATTCCTGTCCAAAAGAAAAAGGAAGGATTTCTTCTGTTTCCAGTAATGAAGGTGGCTTTTAGGATTTAATGCAACCATATTTGGATTATAGGATGGTCAGCAGTTTCACTAGGAAACTTTGGACAAACCTGCCTAGGCAGTAACTTTCAGTAAGTACAGCACTGCCATGTCACGTCTGCTTCAAGTGCTTATTTCAGTAGTGGATGAAACATCAGGATTGCAAGGCAGATATGTGCTTGCTACAGGTATTTGTGAATTCTTCTAAAGGCTTGTCTTGATTTAATGGTAGAGAACTGCATTTATCTTACTGCCTCCAATTAACTTGTGCAAATTGCTTAGTAATCCAAAATTATTAAAATGTTCAAAATAATGACTTTGAATTTTTATTGTGGGCCGTTTTATTTATGGCCAGTTAGAGAATAATTCTGGCAGGGAAAAAGTTGTGTGATGGTATTTTCTCAGTTCCCACAGGTGTGGTACTTTAGGTCGGTGTATGTCTCTAGGTGTCCTCTTCCATGAATACACTGTGGGCAGCCGACCAAGCATGTCCCCACAGTGTCTGGCATGGTCACTAGCAAGATACTTAGCAGTCTGTTAACAAGGATTCTACAGAGTTGACCGAAGTGGGGTCAAGTCAAGAATAAATCCCTCCTGTTGTGAAACCCAGCAAAGCCACTGTGGCAGTGACTGGGAGTAGCAAATGCTTTACTGATTTCTAGTCAGTGGAGCTACATATTTCAGGACACCTGCAGGCACACTTGGACTCTTCCTTCTAACTGTTCCCCTTCGTGTTACTGCTGCCTTAGCTACAATAGCTGTCAATTTTCTGCTGCAGATGGCTAATCTGCTACTGCTGCCCTGCAGCAAAACCCAGAGAAGAGCTGATTTTTTCCCAAGAGTGATTTTCCAAGTAGCTAAAACAAGCACCCCAATTTGGGGAATTTTTAGGAGGGTTGCAAGCACAATCTATTGAGGTGGTTTCAACTGCACAGGATGAACTGTCTCTACAGATGAAAGTGCTTGTCTCAGTGGTCTTCAGTGTACTGAAATTAAAGATGTGCTGAACTTTGGAATTACTGACATAAGCAATGGTGCACCCAAGGATACTCATGACCATTGCACCAATTTAGTGTGTGATCAAGATTTCGAGATTGCTATGATAATCAGGTTAGTAAGCATATGCCCAGGCACGTAATATGTCTGGCTTTGGAAATAGGCTGAACATGCAAATAAGCACACTTGTAAATCCATTGCTTTGTTTAAAGCACTGGAGATCACTAACTGTACTGTTCACTTTAACAGGCCAAGTAGTGCTCCTTCCTTCCTCCCTTCCCCCATCCTTCCCTCCCTCCCTTCCTCCCTTCTGGCCTCCAGGCCTGCCTGCCTTCCTGCCTTCTTGCCTTCCTGCCTCCCTTCCTTATTTCCTCCCTTCCTTCACCTCTTTCTCCCTCTCTTTCTCCCTTTCTTTTTCTTGCCTGACTGCCTTCCCTCATTCCTTCTCTCATTCTCTTTCTTCCTCGAATAAGTTGTAGGCACCATTTTTTTCCAGAATGAGGTGGAAGACAAATCAGGGATGTAAGTATGCATGCAAACCTGTATTTGTACACACCAGAACACATATACATATATCATGTTAAGAAATACGCATTGAAAGGACATGATTGTTTACAAAATCACACCCTTAAAACTTAGGAAGTGTTAGAATCAATTTTGCCTGTGCATGTTTAATTGAGTTCTGTTCTGGTTTTGCATTGCAATGAGTGCTCGATTTTATGGCTACATGGTTTTTACCCACAGGTGCCTGGGATGGATTAGGATCACTTACTGGGCAGCTTTTCAATATTCTGTTTTATCTTGATAGTTCAGCACATGGCCCATGGCTTGGGTATTGCACTCTACTCAAGCTGTGTTCTGATACATAATTATTAATTTTATCAGCAGCTTTTTAGGGACAGTCACTGCTATTGTTTTCAAGTGGTTGGTGAATAGCGGTGAGTTTTGCTTTCCTGTCTAAGAAGAGGGACATTGTTATCTTTATTTTCCAGGTGGAACAAAAAGACACAGAAAGATAACAGTTCAGAGGTTCCACTAATTTCATCCACCAAAGATCTTTGCTAAATACCTTTGTTGAAAGCTATTAGCATTAGCAGCAGCCTTTATGTGATCCAGTGCTAACAAAGTCTCTCCAGCAGCCATCATAGCTATTTGCTGACAGTGGAGACACCGGAGGCTTGAGCATCTCCTTTTGAGCAAATGTGCCACAGGCAGACACATTTGCTCATCCCCTCCACAGCAGATGATTTGTGGACAGCTAGTTCCCCACTCCCCATCCTTGCCTCCCCCTGAAGAGGGGAGTTTCATGCCCATGTCACCGAGAGCAAGGCAAGCAGGGGCTGTGCTGCCAACCCTAGTGACCATCCCCGGATGAGATAGCTGCTGGGCAATGCTGAGCACCTCAGTGGGGACAGAGCCCAGAAAGCATAGTCTCTCTGGGGAATTTGACTGCTTTCCTGTGCGAAGTGTGCTCAGACTTGATCTTGGGAAGGTGTGCAACATGGGCAAATTTGGGTTGATTTACACAGGAGTAGAAAAATATCTGCTAACCTTTCAAGAAGACAAGGCCCTGGTATATTTTTTCCTTAAACTTGTTCTTAGAAAAAAAAAAAAAAAAAAGGACAGTCTGGTGTTGGATATAGCTTGCAGGAAAATCTGCCCAGAATACTTCAGCCCACCATGTTGAGGTCTAGCAAAATTGTTAGCAGATGAAGCAGGGAAATCCTGTATGACTTTACTAGTAAGTAGTTGTAGTGGCCTTGCTGCTTATAAGAAGGCATATACACGCACATATGCGTGCACACACACACACTACGTGTGCATACACAAGCACAATAATTAGCAGGACTGGATGCCCTCTCATTTATTTTACTTGTTCTTTTCTGTAGAGCTTAATCTTGCAGACAGCTTGCTTTAATCCTGAGTGGATGGAAATGGCAGGAGTTTGTATAAAGTTGGTGCAAGTTTTCAGCCACTGAGAGCAGAACCCATCAGAAGGCAATGCTGAATAAATCCTGTGGCATTAATTGTGCACTGTGCTGAGCATACCTGCTGCAGCAGAAGGTGACTCCAACCCCAGTGATGGATGAGATCCTGAATGAACTAGGACCTCCTCATGTTTCACCAATGCAGAACTGCTTAAAGCTTCATGTCGTGGCCTAATTCAAACTAATTGAATTCAAATGATAAACACAGAATCATACAAAGAACTGGAGTACAAAGTGAACAAGGCAGTGCAGTCATTTCTGTTTGAAAATGTGATAACACCTTCAGAGGAAAAATCATGAGACATGGAGGAAAAAATGTCATTTACTTATAGAAAAAAAAAGTCATTTACTTATAGAAAAAAAAAAGGCCTTTTTAAAAAGTGACCTACTGAATGTTGTGTATTTTAATGATCTCTTCATACATAAACTAAGGGAGTAATGCATGAATCAGTAAGGATTCAAATCCAGGAGTATGATACAATAATTTAATCCTCCCAAGATACGTTGCCAATGTCAGTCCTGTGCTTTTTATACACATGTAAAATTCACTGGAAACCACCTTAACTAGTTTCTTTCTTATTAAACAGTCTTCCAAAATCTATAATTCAGTGAGACATTAAGCAGTTGGCATTTGTTGCTATACAATCCTGCTCCACAAACCCCACTGTGAATTCAGCAGGGCATTCAGCACTAGCCAGCCTTTGTTATCAGTAACTCTACATGAAAGAACTTGCATTTTCTTCCTAATGAAACAATCTGAAGAATAATAAGTTGTTCAGGATTTTAAAACCTTAGTTTGGATTCAGAGCTGAGATTTCAGTGCAGAGAACTGTTGAGATACTCTCAAATCCAGTGTCTTTCACTGTTAAATACCTGTAAATGCTTCTATCTCCTGCAGATGGACATATACAATTTATAACATTTAGACATCAATAGAGGAACTAAATTCTGAGAGGGGATCTCAAATATTCAATGAGCTGTCTATATATTAGGGAATTACAAGTTAAAAGGCAGACTAGACCCTTGGGTCTGAAGACGGTGAGCAGTATAGACTGCAAATGGAAGGTAGAAAGATCAGATCCAGACCCAACACCTCCCCATATCTTCTTAGCATGATCATTGCTTTTTAGAAGCCTTATTTTTTTTGGCAAATGATAACATGTTTTTCTCCTCATGCAGTTTACTGACTGGTAAGCCTGTCAGGGGTACTCTGATCACAGGCGCTGGCTTCCAAAGACTCTTTGGACTCACTGTGCATTGAAGTCTCAACAGCTCCTTTAAGGCTACCCGTGAGTTTGCTTGGTGCCTGCCACCACTTCCTGGGTTTTGTCCAGTGAAGTGGCTAGCCTTGCTTCTAGGATGACCAAAGTGTGATGGATGCAAGTTGCTTTGGGGTGAAGTGTCCAGGCTGGATGTGGTGATGTGGGGCTGCAGCGCTTCGGAGCTCCTGGCACAGCAGGGACCATGCTGGGCTGTCACTAGGGCATTCCAGGCAAGTCCCTCTGGTTTCTGGAAAGATCAAAATGAGGATGATAAGAAGATGAATCAAAGCTATTTTAAACTGTGGCTTCTGCCCTGGGCTTCTGAGGCCATCCCCATACTGTCACTGTGCCCAAGGTAAGTCTCTCTCCATGCTCTTTTTTCCTTTCCGGTTATTTGCCCAAAGAAGAGGGTATTTACTCTCTGCTATGACACGTAACACCCAGCTTGTTTCTCAGATTATCATTAAGCAAAGGGGTATGACATAGATTTTGGAAAACCACAGCCCTACCCCACTGCCTTGTATTTCATTGTCCATCTGCCTCTATCTTTTATCTTCTTCTGCCAAAGAAGAAGGGGATTAACAGGATATCTCAGCATTGTGAGAGTAACATGCAGTGCCACGTTAAGCTGGAGAAATTCTTTCAAATGGGAGAAATTTCAATTTAGCAGATAAAATACCATTTTGGGGAAGCAAGTGCTCTGAGTTTGGACTCTGCCAGTGGAAGAGAGGCTGTATCCCACAGTCAGTAATCTTAGGTTGAGATGGCACTGTTGCAACCAGGATGAGTTTTGCTGCTTATCTATAAATAGGCAGGACAGAGACTTTTACTTTTCTGTGCTTGTATTTTTCAGCTTTTTTTTTTTACTAGACAAATTATTGCCACAAAAATATTGCTGAAATCATTGTCAAGAACCAACTGCAAGTATCTGCCTTTTACAGAAAATGCTTCACCCCTGTTTCTACTTCATACAAAAATATAAGATATCTGATCTGCTCTTCTTGTTGGGGGACATCACATCAGAGCTAGAAACACAGTTTTATGGGGGGAAGGAAAGAAAAGGCAGCAAATTTACAAAAGCTGTTGCATGGGGTTTGTTTTGCACAGCATATTTTGCCAGCAGAAGGTTTCCAGGCTGTGCAAAAATATGCACCATGTTAATGATCCTGATTTCTAATGACTTTTAAAATGAATTTATGCTAGTGCAATCAGTTTTATTAACTGCTGAGCAGCAGTATTTGTGTTCACAATTAGTTGTGGAAGTACAAAGGCAGGAATGCAAGTAGAAGCTGGATTTAAACCGGCACGTTCCAATTAAATACATGGCTGATAACTACATAACTGGAGACTTGTAACATCAGCATTGTCAGAAAAGATCAGACAGGTGTTTGAAGACATGGCACGAAGGCAACTTGAGGGTTGAAATTCTGTACTCTGTGATGTCTGTGAGGAGAGCTGAATCTTTTCACTGCAAAAAACTAGTCTGTCAGGGTGAATGGGAAGCAAGGAAAAAGGCCACAGACTTCTGACAGTGAAGGGTTGCAAGGACTCTAAATACACCAGGACAGCAAGGTCTCAAGGTTTCGGTTTTGTCCCTTGCTCTAGAAAAAGAAGTTTTGTTCCCATTATGGAATACTGTGGAGACAGATCGTCAGCCCCTGTGTGCAATAATTACAACTTCAAACTATCTTGTTTGACTAAGAGTTCTTAGGAAGCAAGTTGCTAAGTGTATGAATTGCTCCTGCTGAGAACAAAGAAGAGTGCTGTATTTTAGGAGATGTTCCTAAATGTTAGGGCATAGGAAGGTGACATCTTTTACCTCAGAGAACAACTCAGGATCACTGTGGTATTATCTGAATTACATTTTTTTTCTATGCCAATTCATGGAGTGAATTGTTCATTTGTGAGAACTCTTTTGCCAATCACTTTGTGTAGATCATTTGGTAAAACGTAGATAAGATGTGTGCAAAACATCCCACCAGACTGCCTGCTGTGGTGTGGGCTAATGTGCAGTTGTCCATCAGGAGACCCATCTCTGTGGTATCCTTCAGGAAGTGTAGTGGCTTTGAATAACCTCCAGCCATGTTGTTGTTGTGGTGTGCTGGAGAAGAGTTTCCAAGCTTCCCAAATTTATGGATATGTGGGACAAGCAGTTCACAACATGTGTACTGTAGGCACCCCGCAGAGATCTTCCTTTCCCCTTCATGCTCTTGGCCATGAGCAAGGCGATGGATGAGGACCCCTAAGTTACTTCCCAAGTCACTTCCCAAGTTTCTGTCACTGCAGAACGGGAATCAGAAACCACTTTTGTAAGTCCTTGCTGCTGAAGCCAATCTTGACTTCCCTAGGTTGCTGAGTCTGAAGACCTTCATTCCCTTGAAGAATTCACATTGAGAATATGTCATTCCCATGAGAATAATCTTATTTCCTACCCAATGAGGTAGAAAGAGTTTCCTGAGTTTATTATATATCTTGGGAAAAGAATGGGGAGAGAGATTTGGAGATGGAGGGAGAGCAAGGAGCCCTTCGGCCTATACCAAAGTCAGAGAAAACACTGGCCAAATCTTTTCATGTCTGTCTATGTTTTTATCTGCATGTAGCCAGCTGAAGACACAAAAACCAGCTGGTTTGTTATTTCCTCAAAGAATTGTCTATTTCTTGGCAGGGAAAACACAGGCTGACACAGTAAGACACACTCCACGCATGCCAGGAGCAGCAAGGAAATGGGCTTGGAGCAATGTCCATCTCCAGCAGTGAACATCTGTACTAGCCACTGGTGCTGCAGGGATGCGAGGGTAAGTGGAGGGGCAGCGTGTAGGCTTGACACTGGGCAGGACACCTGCTGTCTGCTGCCTGTCCATAGTCGGTGCTCCAGTCAGCCCAGTCCTGCTCCCAGGGTGCACAGGCCTCCCAGTGCAGGGATAAGAGACCGCAAAGGGGGCTTGTCCTCTATTCTCCTTTGAAACAGGGATTATCAGCCCTAAAGATGCATGGCTGTTCTTTGGGACAGCTTCAGCATTCCTGTTTTATTGCTTCTCTGTGGAGGAGGCTGCCCAGCCCCTGACACAGTTGCTGGACTGACAGCAGTGGACTGACTAGCTAATTTTGCCAAGGGCTAAAGCAAGATTGATCAGGAGGAGTTAAGTCACTTGGCTGTTGATTCAGACTGGATGGCATGGAAATGGCATGGTGTGAACAGAATATATTTTTAAAGCTGATGGCAATAGCTTCATTATTTTATTCCCTTGGCCTCCTGATCTTGAGGCCTACCCCTGTGTCATGGCAGAAAGAGCAAGAGAGGTTAACTGTGGAATTAACCACTATTCATTCAACCAGCACAGTTTCTGCACCAGAGAGACATAAACAGCAAAATGAGTGATTTTCAAGGAAAAGTGCTAGTGTGCATTCCTGGCAGGGTGAGGGAAATAAATGGATTTTAGTCCCCTTAGACTTTGGGCTACATTTAAGTGACTTTGAGGCACTTAGTCTGTGCAATTGGCTTAACAGGGGCAGCTCAGGAAATATTATCTATATGTCAGGGTTACATGACAATTAAACAGTTAATTTTTTATCTAAAAAAAGCTGCCCTGATTTTAAGAGCATCCTGTGTCTCAGGTGGTTAGCCAAAGGGCCCTCTTATGAAGCTTGTAAATGCATTGTGGAAACTTATTTGTCAGATAATCACACAACCAACAAAGGTATCACAATAGCCAGACTTCTACAGTGCTTTGAGGTCCTCCCTGTGGATCCTGCTGCAGGGCAGAGGGGGAGTGGCTGAGGAAGTTGCCCATTCTTGTGAAATTTTCTGTGGTTTAGAAATTTTACTGCTGAAGAAAAAATGGACCAAGACAGAACTAAACTTGTTCCATAATGCAAGGCTGTAAAAATAGCTCTGCATTCACTTTGCATTGGCTGTCGTCCCCCCCCTCCCCCTTTGTAATTCAAAATATGCTCGTAGGAAACTTCAAGAGAAGCTGTCAACAACATTATCAACATCAGGAGAGACAGACAAACCAATGACGCAGGACATAAATGGAAGGATACCACTGAGAAAAGCTACACAGATGGTTTTATAGATTAAAAAAGCTGGCATATCTAAAGCTCAGGATTGTTAAAAAAAGAAACAGATAGAGGGGGAGAGGGTGAGAGAGAGGAGTAACTTACTTCTTCAATCCTTCTGGTCTGATACTTCTGTAGGCCCCATCTGTACTTTGCAAGAATGGGTTTGTGCTTTTGGTTGCACTCCCAGCTTGTTCTTCTTGGTGTTTATAGACTATCCCAGATGTCAAGTTGTTCTCTGCAAAGCAAGTTGATAGCTCCTCACAGCAAGAATTGTTCTGTTCTAGGGCTCTGCTGAGGCATTTTGCATTTATAAAGTGATTTACAGTGCAGAGTAGTCCTGTGAGGAATGACTGCTGTTCCTAGGGCAGAGGAGAAGTAGGTCTCTCTCTTGGGCTGCCTGCCTATTAACTGGAACAAGCTCTTAGTTATGTTTGTTCATTCATTCCCTCTTTGCCTAAAATTAAGTCACTTATTCTAGTAGTTCCCAAACCAGTCTCTTGTACCACATCAAACAGTGCTTTCTAGGGTGCTTTTCACTGAGCACTTCAGGAAGGAAATGTGTTCTGGGAAATTCTGGTAGTGTTATATTTGAAGAAAAGTTTTGGAAGAACAAACTGACTATCTCTTTCACAGGATTTCTGGTATTACCAGAGATTTCAACACACAGATAAAAATGGGAAGAAATACTCCACAAACCTCCTAGAATATTTGCCCAAAGTTGCAAGATTTCAGCAATTCTGACTTCCAAACAGACTACCTCAACAGAGCCATCTCCTTTCTGCTGAGTAATTTACGTTAAGTGGGTGCTACTTCTGGGCACTCAGTCCGTGCCTCCTGGCACTATCTGACAACCCAGCTCTCCTGCTGGGTGCTGCTCCCAAACATCCAGCAGCTTCTCCTAGTGTCTTGCCCACAGTCCCAGACAACAGAAAGGCAATAAAGAGATCCATAATATTTTCTTCTGTGCCAGTCCGCTCCCTACTTTGGCATGTGCTGAAATTTCACTTTTCTGTCTGCAGCATTCATGAAAGTAATAAAACTGCTGCTGACTCTGGAGGTCTCAGGGAGTCACTGCAGGCACAAACTGTCCTTGCAGCATCTTGTATGGAAAAGGGGCTATTCCAGGCAGCTCTTCGTGGCACTCCATTTCATAACCCAAACTTAAGTAATGCTGCGTCTTTGCCAGTGTCTCTGTTTAAATGGTTGAGACTGGCAAGTGTTTGATGCAAAAAATACTTCTGCATGAGCAAATGTTATTTTCTTTATGAGGACTAGACTGACATGAGCTTTTGAGAAGTAAACAGAGAGAAATGTATAGACAAGACAAATGGGCGGATGATAAAATTGGTCCTTTACTCTGAACTGTTTCTAACATAATTCAAAATAGCAGCTTTGGAAGATGGCACTTCCTTTTATAGTTCCTTTTCAGAAATAATAAGAGCAGTTTGCTAGAATCTTGGTCTAACTATTTAATCACTACATTACCTTTAAGCTAAGGTTTGCCTCCCATCATTAAGTAATTCACTCAAGGTAACAAGTGAAATAAAGTCAGAGGGATATAGTAGTCTCAAGATGTAAGCCTTATTTTACAATAAAGAACAGTGTGGTTAGTCTTTCTCCAGAGGGTTGGTTTTTTTTTTGGTGCTTTCTTGCTTTGCTACAGCTTGCAGAAAACAGAGATTACAATACGCATTTGCTAATCAATATTAAACTAGTAGAGTAAAATGTCAGGGAGGAAAAAATTGAAATCATACTACATTTCAACACCAACAGAGAAAATCCCAGCATTGTTAAATGGCAGCAATAAAACTAGCAATTGTTATTTAGTTTTAAGTAATGAACCAAATAAAAAATACAGAACTTGCTACATTGCCTTCCAAATGAAGCTTATTACACTGCTGCTTGAATGTTTGTACAATCTTTAATTTAAACATTTTCTCTTCAGGTCTTAATAATAGGCATGGGTAGTTGTAATTTACTTCCTCTTCAAAGGCAAAAAATGAAAGAGGAAAACAAAATGCTTTAACAACTCACATGTGAGCAGAAGTAGCTCATTCAGCCAGAGGAGGCTGGTAGGGCTGAAAGTCAGAGAATTTCACCCCGCGATTTATCTTTCAGCCAGGTAAGGGCACGATTAGCATGTGGGCTCTCCAAAGCTGCTCCCCCAGTGAGAAGGAAGAGCCATTCATCACTATTTACTGGGCCTTTGTTCTGCTGCAAACCCTTGCAGAGAAGAAAAAAAAGAGTAATTTGTGTTTCTCAAAAGGATACCAACATGCAACCTCATAGATGCTTCAAGGATTTTTTTTTATTATTATATTTTAATATATAAGCAACCAAGGAAATTATTTAGAGGTGAATGTTAATATATTCCACTCCTCGTGGCCCACAGGATTCTCAATTCTCAGTTCAGTTTTTTCATTATGCATCCTTTGTTTCTGGAATTACTGTGATAGTTTACTGGTTTGAAGGATTTTACAGTTGCAGTCATAAATAGAGGCAAATCTTAACCTTGAAACTTGAATGACAAAATAATCCTATTTGAAACAACTCCTGAGTGGCACATGGAGGGGAAATAAATAAATTAATTCTTTTTTTTTCCTGCACATGACTACCCCTACCTCAAGCTTCTTTTTAAAATTGATCATCTGATAAAATACCAAATTTTAAAATCCTTGGTTGACTTTTTTATGAAAGAACAGAGGTGGGTTAGGGTATTTATTCCTGGCCTTGGGACTTGTGATTGCATGACCTTTTGTTTCCCCTCTCCTTTTGGGGCACTGGTGCTTGAATGCAGGCAGAAATCTTTCTGAAAAGCTTGGATTCAGATGCTCACCTGCAAGGTAAATAAGGACATTTTCCTCTTGGGCTGTATTTGATTTCTTTAAACATTTTTGTTCTTTGGTTTCTGCTGTGCTCTTGCAGTGAAGCATGGCTTGTTATTCACCCTTCTGCACTGGAGGCAGAACACGAACGGAGGGGCTGCTCCTTTGCAGGGCACGCAGCCTCTGTCTGGACTCCTGCCCGCTTGTCTGAGTGGCTGTGATGGTCACGTCAAGTTTGGGAAGTATTATTTTAAGAAGGCTGGAGGAGCAGAGGAACCCCATTTCCAGCCTGGGACTGGATTCCCACTTGGGACTGAATCTAGTTCTTGTCAGTCTTGGGTAGCCAGGAGATCTCAGTCTTTTCCTTCTGTGACTCACAGCATGGCTTTCTGTGATATATGTAAAGCTAGAGTGACATTTAATAGGTCACAACATACAGAAGGGCAGATTAGTGAGTATCATACAACATTTAGAATTAATTTTTATTGTACCTACTACCTTTATCCTTCCTTGTAGGAAACTCTCCTGATCCCATCTGTACTAAAAATAGAATAAAAGAAGAATGTCGTTAACACAGTGAAATAAATCAGGCAGCACAATACAATGCCTTGAAAGAAGATGTTCAAATAATGAGGCCCTGACTTGCTGCACCTCAGCAGCCTTTGGAGAAGCTGGCACACCCTTCTGTGGGGCAGCTGAGGACCCCACTGACCTGCACAAACGCGATGGCCCTTGGGCTGAGATCCTGATATACCGCTCCAGGTATTTACATATGCATTGAGGGGTCCTCTGGAGCACGCTGATATCTTTTTTCCAGGTGAGCAGAAACCTTCAGGACAGGACAGATTTCTGTGACAGCTGATATTAAAAACCAGGAGCATGTGACAGTGACATTTGAAAAATGCATCTTGAAATGATGCTTTTGCAAGGGAAACTGTGCTTAGTAACAATTATTATGGAAAGGAGTCTGTTAGAGGTCCAGCACAGCTATATGGTACCTGAGGTAAGATAGCGTTGCTGGAATGTTATCAGTACTTGCACCTAAATATTGTTTTTTATCCTCCAGGATCTGTTTTGGATAGTCTCATACGACCACTTCAAAACATATTGACATTATACTTTTTTTCCAGATTAATCTAGGAAACAGCTGAAAACATAGTATTCATTTCTGTCTTCCTTATTTGTTGCTCATTCAAACTATTGGTAAACCAGTAATCTGTAAGATTGAAGAGGCTGGCTATAAGAAATTAGGATAGGAAATTGTTTTCCAAACTATGCTGCAGACTTTCTCCTCAATCAAAGTTAGTTAAAGGAAAAAAACAATTAGATATTATTTCAGCCTGAGTGTATACAAGGCCAAGAGGCAGTTACTGCTACCAGCAACAAGACTTCTGGGATCTATCAAATATTGAATGTTGAAGGCAGACCCTTTAAAATCTAGGAGCAATTAAATATCCAGACTATAATTTAGAAGACACGAGAAATTTCAATTATGTATTAACATTTAAGGAAGGTTGCCTATAGTTATGAGGGATGGAAATGTTGACGAAACAAAGCTAAATTGGTATGGGAGATGGAGAAAAGTGAATCCTAAATCTAACTGGTTACCTAATGAAATTCAAAGGTATTATGTGACTGACGATAGAAGAGAGCATTGTAAGAAAACTAAACATCAGGTGTTTACTGTTCCGAGAGATAATCTAACTTAGGGAAAATACACACACACATGTACTTATAAATAACTACACAAAACACAGGAAGCTTTAATGATAATCTGTCATCAGCACTAATGGGGAAGACTTGCAGCCACATCAGGTAACCAGGAGTGCGTGGGCCACATCTGGAGGTCCTAAACCAGGCTGCAATCATCATAATTTTCCTAGTAATTCATTGCTGCTTTGTAATCAAGGACTATTGTGTCGTCCAGGCCAAACCCAGGACATAAGCCAAGGAATTTCAGACAGTGTTTCCTACATCTTCGGATCCTTCATCCTTGTTGTAGAGCAGGGGGTATTCCTAGGACCTCTGGCCAACCAAGTAGGCACTCAGCTATGCAATCATTTCACAATGATTTCAGGAGATGTTAACACATTCCCCTAAAAGGAAAGTTAATCTTATTATTAACTATGTAAGCAAAAAAAAAAAAAAAAAAAAAAAAGATATGAGAGTTTCAATATAGCTGATAAAATGTAAGTCTTCTGCCTTTTGGAAAGCATTTTTGAGCCTGGCTCAGATTAATCATGATCAAAACGCATTTTTGTCCTCAGAATGCAGGAGAATTCTTTTGTCTCAGGCCTTTGCTCAATGACAAAGGTCAGGTTTTTGCATCTACAGATCTGACCTGCGGCTGCAGAAGTGCTCAAACAAGAGAATGAGGAAAGCAAGGAGGAATTATCTGCAGCTAAAAGGCAAGCCTCTCAACACAGGTTAAAGCATTTTTGCTTTCAGCTGCTGACTCTCATCTCATGTTTTCTGATCTAGCATCTAGCTGACAGTCAGAGTCACCCTGCAAAATGAGGCATAACAAAGCCAGGAGACAGAGGGAAATCGCTTCCCTCTACATTAGTGGCTTATGCTTAGTGCCAGCGAGGAGAGGAAGGCATTGGATTGTTGTCTGAAGGCTTTGTCCCTTGCTAGGTAAAAGAAGAACAGCCTGAAGGTGAGAGCCTTGAGAAAAAGTCTGTTATTTACAGGGGCCACAGAATAGGAAGGACAATTGCATATTATGAAGGAAAGGACCCCCTGCTTGATCCAGGAGGAAGGCAGAAATGCAATCTTGAATGAAGGCTTTCCTTGGAAGGAAAAAGCAGAAGAGGCTGGTGTTCCTGCTTAGAAGATAAGACCAAAAGGAAAGACAAGACCAAGAAAGAGTTGCTCGGTTAGGGAGGGAAAAATAATCATAGTGGTAGAAATGATGCAGTTTGGACCATGAGAGCAAGCACTAAATGTAGAAGGTGAATGAAAGTCTTTAAGATAGACAGTGAGACTCAGTGCTTGTTACAGCTAATGCCAAACAATATTAATTTACTCCACCAGGTATTAGTGAATATTAATATTATGTCATTAGCGAGCTTTCGGTACCACTGCCAGTATGTTATGCCTTTTCTGGGATGAGATAAAAGAACTCAGTTTCTAGCCCTACTAATTTTATATCTTTTATGAGCAACACATTTCTTTTTAAAAATAAAATACAGCATGTAAAAGTAGTAATTTACAGCTAAAGCAACTATTTTCTGGTGTTCTCATTAAGCCTATTTTATGCACCTGTCTTCTATTCACTCTTTTGAAATTGTAGACCACAAATAAGAGTGAATAATTAGCCATAATTATTGTTTCTTTGTAATATTTTAGGATGTTGAGAAAATTTCTTACGTGAGGACGTCCTTTGTGAGGAAGGAAATATTCATAGTGATGCTGAAGCTTATGACTCGAAGCTGCACATCGACAGTAACCTGCAGTGAGGAGGGCAAGAAAGAATTAAAGGGGTGCTAGTCACAGCAGATTTCATCAAGGATAAATCCCAATATGGTTTAATCACTGCTCAGTTTTAAACACTTTTCATGAAATATTTGCATTTTTATGTCTGTTAAAGGCTTCAGTAGTTACTACCTCTTTGATTTCCCAAATTTGCTATAATGGTGTTATGTTTAAATACATCTGTATGTATAATAATCTTTAACATTGCTGATCCTCTATGTAATGAAGTAGACTTTTCACTGTTGTAAATAGGACTGATGTGTGATTAATAAACCGAGCCAAAGAGTATTGATACATGGAATTGATGTAAACCAGGTTAGAGGAGAAGCTAATTAACATGCTTGAGTGATTTGCAGTCTAATCCTATACAAAACATTAGAAACCAAACTTGTGAGTACTGAAAAAAATGAATCCCAGCTGAAGTATTAAAAGCAATTCTTCCAATTCTGCCACAGTTCGTCCTCTTAACTCCTCTTAATATTACAATAGGTATGATTTTGCAGACTAAATGTAAGCATTAGTATTTATTTTAAAACTGGATTTAATGTGAAATCTGTTTTTCACAAGGATTTTTTAAAAGAAATGAGTGGATTTCTCCATCTATTTGCAAATCTAAACTATTCAATTCAAACAGTAACTGCGACGGTGTGAAAAGCTATTTACAGGTCTGCAGCCATCTCTGGTTTCATCAATTTGTTTTTCAGTCTTTGTTGTTATTTCTTGTTTCTTATGGATCTCCTGGGACAGCTTCTTGCTTGAGGAGAGAATGTCAATAGCTCATTCGTCCTCCAGGATGTTTCCTCGCAACAATGAGCTTACTCCCCAAATTTAATCTAGTTCTTTTGCCTCTTTTCTGTAAAATCAAGGAAAGTAAGAAAAGTTATTTCAGGAAACATGAACATCATCTGAATAAGTCTGCTATGTAATAACAGCCTGGTTTTGCTTGGTTTCTATAAAGGGATATTAAAATAGATTATAACTTTCAAAAATCCATTAGTGAAATTCCAGGCCATTTTAGACATTAAGTTCACAGTACTGTAGATGCTAGACAAAGTTCATCTGAGAAGGGCATTTTGCTTTGTTTTTGTTTTTAATCCACCAACATATTCATTGAACTTGTAATTAAATCTTGTGTACCTGTAGGTTAATCTGCTGGAATGCTTATTTAAGAACTAGTTTCTATTTATTTTCCTGGGGCCATAAGATATTTCTTAGCCCATGCAATATGAGGATGCACTGTGACGTTTATAGTACTGTATTAAAAACAAAGGTAAGGAAGTATGAGCATGAATGCACAAAAGAATTTTTGTTCTAGATGTGTTCTAGAGAGGAATAAACTTACATTAAGTGGAGAGTTTAATTTTTCTATGATATAATATATGGGAAAGGCATCTGTTCTTTCTCTCTTTACCTGCAATTTATAAGAAAAGATAGTTTCTTTTGTTTGGGGTATGTCTACCAGGGCAAATTAACTATGATAGCTCTTCTGGATTAATTCTCCACACACTTAATATCAAACAGAAAAAGGGCATTCTTATTCCAGAATTAGAGTGTATACATAAGGGAAATAGTCTTGCAAGATTGTTCCACATTCTGTTCATGCCTGAATTTAATCCTCATTCATTTCCTTTCAGGCATCCTGGAAAAAAACATTCTTTTTGTTTATAGGAAAAGGGCTTAGAACCACGGAATGGTTTGTGTTGGAAGGGGCTTAGAGATTATTTAGTTCCAACCCCTTCTGCTATGGAGAGGGACACATTCCACCATTAGACCAGGTTGCTCAAAGCACCATCCAAACTGGCCTTGAACACTGCCAGGGATGGGGCAGGCACAGCTTCTTTGGGCAAACCCAACCCCTCAGTAAAGAATTTCTTCCTAACATCTAATCTAAATCTGCCCTCTTTCAGTTTAAAGCCATTCCTCCTTGTCCTGTCACTATATGCCTTTGTAAAAAATCCCTTTCCAGCTTTCTTGTAGGCCCTCTTTAGGCACTGGAAGCTTGCTCAAAGGTTTCCCCAGAGCCTTCTTTTCTCCAGGCTGAAAAGCCCCAAGTCCTTCTGCCTGTCTTCTGCCTGTGCAGGACCTTGCACTTGGTCTTGTTGAACTTAACGAGATTTGCAATTGCCAATCTCTCGAGCCTCTCAAGGCCCCTCTGGATGACATCCCTTCCCTCCAGATGGTTGACTGCACCACACAGCTTGGTGTTGTCAGCAAACTTGCTGAAGATGCACTCATTCCCACTGTCTATGCCATTGACAAAGATGTTAAACAGCTCTGGTCCCAGTACAGACAGTTTTCAGGAGGATCCGTTCCACGATCTTGCTGAGCAAAGAGGTGGCACTGACTGGCCTGTAGTTCCCTGGGTCTTTTGTCCCTTTTTAAAAATGGGGGTTATATTTCTGCTTTTCCAGTCAGTGAGAACTTCACCACACTCCCACAACCTCTCAGATATGACCGATAGTGGCATACCCATTTCATCTGTTAGTTCCCTCAGGACCCCTGGATGCATCTCATCAGGTCCCATGGACTTGTACCTCTTCAGGTTCCTTAGAGAGTCTTGAACCTAATCTCCTACAGCAAGCAGTTCTTCATTCTCCCAGTGTCTGCCTCTGCCTTCTGTGACTTCCGAAGTGTGGCTGGAGCACTTACTGTTGAAGACTGTGGCAAAAAAGTTACTGACTACCTCAGCTTTCTCCATATCACAGGTAACAAGGTATCCTGTTTCCTTTCGAGAGGGCCCACATTTTCCCTATTCTTTCTTTTATCACTGACGTACCTATAGAAACTTTTCTTGTTGCCCTTGATGTGCCTGGCTAGACTTAACACTATCATTAGGGCTTTGTCTTTCCTAACCTGATCCCTGGCAGCTTCGACAATTTCTCTGTATTCCTCCAAGGGTACCTGTCTCTACCTCCACCCTCTGTAGTCTTCCTTCTAGTGTCTGAGTTTGTCTAGGAGCACCTGTTCACCCACTCAGGCTTCCTGACATTCTTGCCTGAATTCCTCTTTGTCAGGATGCATTGCTCCTGAAATTTGAGGAGGTGATCCTAGGACATTAACCAGTTTTCCTGGGCCAGTTTTCCCTCCAGGGCTTTATCCCATGGTACGCTACCACACATACCCCTGAAGAGGCCAAAATCCACTCTCCTAAAGTCCAGGGTAGCAATCTTGATGTGAGCCCTCCTTGATGTCCTATAAGGCTGCACCTATCTGCTTCTAGAGGGCCTCATCCACTGGCTTTCCTGGTTGGGTGGACTGTAGCAGACCCCCACTATAATGTCACCTGTCCCTGCCCTCCCTGTAATCCTGACCCATAAGCTCTCGGTTCATCCATCCTCAGGCAGAAGTCCATGCACTCCAGCATAACATGGAGGATAATACCCCCTCCTCATGTCCCCTGCCTGTCCTTCCTGAAGAGCCTATATCCTTCCATTCCAACACTCCAGCCATAGGAGCCATCCCACCACGTCTCAGTGATGGCAGCAAGATCATAGCCCTGCAGGCATGTGCACACCTCTAGTCCCTCTTGTTTATTCTGCATGCTTCATGCATTTGCATAAATGAAGCTGACTTGCTGGCTTGAGTGGCTTAAATCTCTGTGCTCCTGCTTCAGGTGCTGACCTGCCATCCCCCTCCAGGCTCTGGGCATCTCTTGCTGGCACTGCTATCAAACCAGTAGGAGTAGGATTGAGGTTTCCCTCACCCACCAACTTTAGTTTAAAGCCTCCTTCACCAGCTTTTTAGTAGTTTCTCTGAAACTGGGTCTGAACAGTGAGAAAAGGAATATTACTTGTCTCTTGATTTAAATTTTCCTTGTATTTGCTACTACAGTTCCTATCTGGTTATATTTCTGGAGTTATTTGGCATCAGGATGCTTGGAGCTGCATACAAAAGACATGAGGTCTGCTGCAAACCCACAAAAAAAAAAAAAGAAGAAAAAGTAAGTGAAAATTGTTCCCTGCAACAGATATATAATAAAAAATATTAAAATCATAGCTGAAGTTTGATGTGATAGTAATGCAGAGCAGCTGAAAGTGTGACTTCCCTGTCCACATCTGTCCATATCTGTAAAATCTGTGTAATTGCTGAAGCTTTTATCTTCTAGACTCTGACAGACTCTTTCTCTCTTTGTTAACATAAATGCCTACTTGGAAGGGGCACCAGATTCTGACATTAGTTACATGATTATTGTCTAGCAGTTTATAGCTAAACCCAACTTTCCCTTCCCCTTTCCTTGCAAACAAAAAGCCTCTAAAAACCTATGGGAAATCAGGTGAGAAACTATATTAAAGAAAATCAGTTCATATATATACAGACTAACAACCTTTTGACCTTTCTTGCCAGAATACACGCGGTAAGGGTAATTGCCAGCTCTGTTATTTGTTCTCATTTTATTAAGTCTGTTTTTACAATAGGTGTTAGAGATAAGTACTCTGATGGCTATTTTTCCAGATGTCTGGTTTAAATGTACCATAAAACATACTAGATGATGCATCCATTAACACCATATAGTGCCGAGAATACCAGATTAACCACTTTGTTAAACGGGAAGATGTTTCTAAATTTTGTTTGGATTATTCATAGCAAATGGAAAAAATTAAAATTGAAATAATTAAAGTAAGATTTCCTTCTATACCAGTTTATTTTTTTTTTCTTTTCTTTATTTTCTTTCTTTTTATCCTTTTTTTTTTAATTTTTTTTTTTTTTTTTTTATTTCCAGGGAGCTGTCAGAGTTAGAATTATCAGGTTTGGTATTTCTGGTGCTATGCAATGGAGTGAATATGTTCGTGCTTCCAGAGTTGGAAAGAAGCATAGATTTTCTGCCTCTCTGCCCTCCCTACTCCCTCATTATGCACAGATACTCTCTGTCCTTGCACGTTGAGCTATTGTATACACAAGGTAAATGCTCAGAGCCATGATGGGTGCATACAATTGTTAAAAAGACAAGCGTTTTTCTGTGTTTTCAGGATTGCTGCTCCAAATTTTCACTTTTGAAAGTCTCATGTATCCCAAAAATAACTGTTGGACCTACACTGTGGAGAAACAACTCAGACTTTTAGCCACTGAAAAGACTCAGTAGTCTTTAATTCTAAGAACCCATGATGCCTTTTACGAAGCACACTTTTATATGTTCTTGCAAACATTATCTGTCCTTTTCTGCTCTGCCCAAATATCACTGAACGCTTCATACTTTCTGTATGCATTGCTTTATTGCCATTACCATCATCTTGGTTATGCCTTTCAGCTTTGGTGTTCTGCTCTGTCTTTTTCTATAACTCCTAAACAAT